TCTTGCCCAGGTCCCTCTGCAGAGCCCTCCTGCCTTCCAGCAGATCAACACTCCCCCCTAGCTTGGTGTCATCTGCTTTTTTTTTTTTTTTTACTTTTTCAGCTTCTGGTGAATTTTTTCCACACCAACCTGGCTGGGGTGGAGGAAGGTTCAGGCTTTATTGTTCTCTGGTTCAGACCTTAACGAATGCCCTATTGAAATGCTAACGACTTCTCTCTGCAGGAAGCAGGACTCTTTTGTTTCCTTCTACCCAAGGCCAGGGGTGGGGGGGAAGGGAGAACTCAGGTTTGAGGTGTTTTTCCTCCTCCTTTCTCTTTCCCTCGGGGGGAGGGATTTGGTTTTCTGGGCCGGTCTCGGGAAGCGGTGTCGGGAAGGGGTCAGAGCTCGTCTTCTTGGATGGGTGGTTAGTTTTCTTCTGTCCTCGAGGGATGTCCTGTTTCGCATCTGAGTCCTCACACTCTGCTCTGCTCTACTGCCTGGATTTGCCTTGAATTCATCGAAAAGACAGTGCACAGGGAGCCTCTGGGGGGAAGGGCCGCCCTTCCCCTCCTCTTTTTCCCATGACAGCAGCAGATGGCACCCTTTGACAAGGAAGGGAATCCACAGCTGGAGCCAGCCTTTGCCAGTGTGAGTCCATGGGGGGAGCAGCCCCCTCCCTGAGTCAGGGCAAAAGTGAAGTGCCTGCCGTTTCCTGAGGAGAAGAAAAAGAAAAACTTACCTTCTCCCCCTCCAGTCTTCTGAGGGTCATCAGTCTGGAATGCAGAATGCGGCCAGTTCTTTTGTGTGTCAATCACCCCAGCCAAAAGAACCACCCTCCCCCTCCCTCATTCAACATCCCTCTTTCATAATGATGCAGGGGAAAAAAAAAATTCCCACTTGGTTTTTTAGAACAAGTAAACCTATGACAATGAGCCTACCAGGGATGGGGCCCCGCTAGACCTGCTGTTCACAAACAGAGAGGGGCTGGTGGGAGATGTGGTGGTCAGAGGTCGTCTGGGGCACAGTGACCATGAAATAATACAGTTTTCAATACTCAGGGATCCAAGGAGTGCCATCAATAAAACCTCTACGCTGGACTTCCAGAGGGCAGATTTCGACCTATTCAGAAGCGTACCCTGGGAAACAACCCTTGAAAACAAAGGGATCCAGGAGGGATGGACATGCTTCAAGAAGGAAGTCTTGAAAGCACAGGAGCAGGCTGTCCCAGTCTGCCAAAAGGCAAGTTGGCTGGAAAGACGACCAGCCTGGCTGAACAGGGAGATTTTGAAGGAAATTAGGGTTAAAAATAGAGCTTACCAATTATGGAAAAAAGGGCTGGCTACTCAGGAAGAGTTAAGGAATGTAATTAGGTCATGTAGAAGGGAAATTAGAGAGACGAAGGGACAACCTGAACTGAATCTCGCCACTTCTGTGAAGGATAACAAAAAGTCTTTGTACAGATACATCAATAACAAAAGGAGGGGCAAGGAAAACCTCTATTCTTTACTGGACATGGGCAGGAATATAGTCATCAAAGATGAGGAAAAGGCTGAGGTACTTAACACCTTCTTTACCTCAGTTTTCAACAGTAAGACAGGTTATCCTGAGGACAGCTGGCTTCTGGAGCTTGTAGAAAGAGATAAGAAGCTTAATAGCCCCCCTATAATCCAGGTGGAAACAGTTAGTGACCTGCTGAGCCACTTGGATCCTCAGAAGTCTATGGGACCAGATGGGATCCACCCATGGGTGATGAGGGAGCTGGCAGAAGAGCTCGTCAAACCGCTCTCCATCATTTACCAACAGTCCTGGCTCACTGGGGAGGTCCCAGATGATTGGAAGTTGGCGAATGACACGCTGATCCACAAAAAGGGCCAGAAGGGGGACTCGGGAAACTACAGGCCCGTCAGCCTGACCTCAGTGCCTGTCAAGGTTATGGAGCAGATCATCCTAAGTGCAATCACACAGCACCTACAGGATGGACAAGGGATCAGACCGAACCAATACGGGTATAGGAAGGGCAGGTCCTGTCTGACCAACCTGATCTCCTTTTATGATCAGGTGACCCACCTGGTGGATGAGGGGAAGGCTGTGGATGTGGTCTACCTGGACTTCAGCAAAGCCTTTGACACCATCTCCCACAGCATACTCCTGAAAAAGCTGGCAGCCCATGGCTTGGACAGGGGCACTCTCTGCTGGGTTAGGAACTGACTGGAGGTCCGGACCCAGAGAGTGGTGGTGAACGGTGCTACATCCAGTTGGCAGCCAGTCACTAGTGGTGTCTCCCAGGGATCAGTGTTGGGCCCAGTTCTGTTTAATATCTTTATTGATGATTTAGATGAGGGGATTGAGTGTACCATTAGTAAATTTGCAGATGACACTAAGTTGGGGGGGAGCGTCGATCAGCTGGAAGGCAGGAGGGCTCTGCAGAGGAACCTGGACAGACTGGAGAGTTGGGCTGATTCCAACAGGATGAGGTTCAACAAGGTCAAGTGCCGGGTCCTGCACTTTGGCCACAACAACCCCATGCAGCGCTACAGGCTGGGCACAGAGTGGCTGGAGAGCATCCAGGCAGAAAGGGACCTGGGAGTTTGGATTGACAGGAAGCTGAACATGAGCCAACAGTGTGCCCAGGTGGCCAAGAAGGCCAATGGCATCCTGGCCTGTATCAGGAACAGTGTGGCCAGAAGGACCAGGGAAGTGATTCTTCCCCTGTACTCAGCACTGGTGAGGCCACACCTGGAGTACTGTGTCCAGTTCTGGGCCCCTCAGTTCAGGAAGGATGTCGAGGTGCTGGAGCATGTCCAGAGAAGACCAAAGACGCTGGTGAAGGGGCTCGAACACAAGTCCTATGAGGAGAGGCTGAGGGAGCTGGGGTTGTTCAACCTGGAGAAGAGGAGGCTCAGGGGAGACCTCATCACTCTCTACAACTACCTGAAAGGAGGTTGTAGCCAGGTGGGGGTTGGTCTCTTCTCCCAGGCAGCTATCAGTAAGACAAGAGGGCATGGTCTTAAGCTCTGCCAGGGGAGGTTTAGGTTGGATATTAGGAAGAAATTCTTTATAGAGAGGGTAATCAGGCATTGGAATGGGCTGCCCAGGGAGGTGGTGGATTCTCTGTCTCTGGAGGTTTTTAAGATGAGACTGGATGTGGCACTTAGTGCCGTGGTCTAGTAACCATGGTGGTAGTGGATCAAGGGTTGGACTTGATGATCTCGGAGGTCCTTTCCAACCTGACTGATTCTATGATTCCTTGAGGAAGCTTTGAAATTATTGCTCTTTGAAGCTGGGGTATACCAAGCTCTAGGGCCCATACATATCACAGACTCCTTGCATATTGAGTGGGGTTTTGCCATCTATGGACTATCAATTCATATGTGGCAGCAGGGACCCAAGGGGCCCACACGACTTAATGAATTTTATTCCCGAAGGTTCAAAGATGAGAAAAATGATATTCAGCTTGGGAAAAAGGACTATTTGTAGTAACTATAGCTTTGCAGGAGGCAGATAAAATTGGTGCAAATCAGTTGTGTTGAGAGGCCCCTTTAAGGTGCTAGAAGCTGTGACAACAGGTACTCCACCCCCTCCAGGGGTGGCTAAATGTGAGACTTTCAGGAAGTGGTATGCAAAGGTCAAATACCACTGCCACGCCCAGTTTTTGAAAGGTCCAGTAACAATGGTACCGTATCACTCAGCCTATGATTCAAGAAAATACTGTTTCAAGGCTCTCAGGGGGAAAAGTGATTATGTCTTGTTCCCTTCCTTGGTGTCTCAGTTTAAGGAGACTGAAGTGTTTTGCTAAGGAGGATGAGTTATGAGGTAGACCAAACTCCTCTCTCAGCAATTGTAAATCTGAAATTAAGAGGCTCCAATCAAGAAAGTATGGAAAAAAGTAAAAATAACAATTCTTTATTACAGGATATATGTGTATTGGTAGAACAACAAAAGAACACAAAACCAACTCAACAATAATCCTGTAACCAAAAGTCCCCTTCAAAAAGGAAACAGTTTGATACTTCCCATCCTCTGGTGCAATTCCAATCACAGTTGGCAGGGGGCGCTGTTGGATCACTGGAGGAGTAGAGCCTGCAGTGCTCTGTGGTGGTCAGCAGGGGGCACTGTTGGGCTCTAGAGGTTGCTGCGTGGGGCCCCGGATCGCGGGAGAAGCTGACAACGGAGATTCCCCCCCCACCGAGGAGGGGAAGAGGAAAAGGGGAAAGAAGGGCGGTTTTTTTCCCACGAAACTCACGCTGTCTGCTGCTGGCTGTGGCCGGGACTCCCCCCTTTCGTCAATGAGCACAAACTCTCCGATGAAATCTGAGCAGATCCAGGCTGGTGACAGAGCAGAGCGTAGGCAAGCCAAGGCCAGAGAGCAGCCAGATGACCAGGTTGAGAGCAAAATGACCTCAGAGCTTTTCCAACACACACACCTTGCCTCCATTAAGGCAAAAAGTGAAGTGCTCCAGTTTCCAAGGAGAAGAGAGAAAAAAACCTCATCACCGCCCCCCCCCTCCCCAGCCTTAGAGAGGGCCATCAGCCTGGAATGCAGTTCTGCCAGCCAGCTCCTTTGTGTAGGTCAATCACCCAAGGCAAAAATCTGCCCTCCCCCATTCAACAACCCTCCCCCACAGTGGGGGAGGCAGAAGAAAATTCCCATTTGGTTTTTTAGAACAAGTAAACCCATGACACTTGGCCAGGCAACAGATGTCCCTGGTACAAACAGTGCCACTCCCACCTTAGACATGCAAAGCTTCCTGGTGTGGTCAAGGGATGTTTCATTGCCCAACTCATTACACAAAGGCCAAGGCTTAATGGGAATTCCTGAGGTTGTAGAGCAGGTCTGGGGGGTGGAGGGGGAAGAATGCACCATCACACTTAATCTCAGAAAAGACCATTCCTAAAAAATGCAGGGCTGAACAAATCAACAGAACAGTTCCTTTCCACACCAATCTCAGCCTTCCCTTCGTGTCATAGAATCATAGAATTATATAATCATAGAATATGTTGAGTTGTAAGGAACCCATAAGGATCGAGTCCAACTCCTGGCTTTGCACAGGACACCCCAAAAATCACACCATGTGCCTATGTTAATATCTTTGTTGATGATCTGGATAAGGGAATTGAGTGCACCCTCAGTATATTTACAGAGGACACCAAGTTGGGTGGGAGTGTTGATTTGCTGGGGAGTAGGAAGGCTCTGCAGAGGAATCTGGACAACCTGAATCAATGGGCTGAGGCCAATTGTATGAGGTTCAACAAGGCAAAGTGCTGGGTCCTGCACTTGGGTCACAACAACCCTGTGCAACGCTACAGGCTTGGGGAAGAGTGGTTGAAAAGCTGCCAATTGGAAAAGGACCTGGGGGTGTTGGTTGACAGCAGCTGAACATGAGCCAGCAGTGTGACCAAGTGGCCAAGAAGGCCAATGGCATCCTGGTTTGTATCAGCAATAGTTTGGCCAGAAAGACTAGGGCAGTGATTCATCCCCTGTACTTGGCACTGGTGAGGCCACACCTCGAATCCTGTGTTTAGTTTTGGGACCCTATAAGAAAGACATTGAGGTGCTGGAGTGTATCCAAAGAAGGGCAACAAAGGTGGTGAAGGGTGTAGAGCACAGCTCTGATGAGGAAGGGTTAAGGGAGCTCAGATTGTTTAGCCTGGAGAAAAGGAGGCTCAGGGGAAAACTTATCACTCTCTACAACTACTCTTTCAGGTAGTTGTAGAGATTGAAGCAAGGTGGGAGTTAGTGTCTACTACCAAGTAATAAATGATAGGACAAGAGGAAATAGCCACAAGTTGCACCATAGAAGGTTCAGATTAGATATTAGGAAAAATTTCTTTTCTGAAAGGGTTATCAAGCATTGGAAGAGGCTGCCCAGGGAAGTGGTTGAGTCATCATCCCTGGAGGAATTTAAAAGATATGTAGACCTGGTGTTTATTGACATGTTATAGCGGTGCAATTGGCAGTTCTGGGTTAAGGGTTGGACTTGATGATCTTAAGGGTCTTTTCCAACTTAAACACAGAATCTCAGAATCATAGAAAAGTGATTGACTGCTAGTCACACTTTTACAAGCCAGCTATCAGCTTATCTGTCAAATCAGACTTCAAAAAGCAGGGTGTGCATTCAAAGTTTGATGAATCAGGATGGTTCTAGCATAATTGACACCAAGACAACACCCTGGCTCCAGCAATTGATCTTGCATGATAGCTTGATTGGATTTTAGATCTTATCAGAGTGGGTGTATCCTGCCACAGTAGTGACATTTCCATCATTTTCTTATGAAATGTTTCAAAGAAAAAAGAATACCCTATCTGATAGAAGAGCAGACAGAATGACAGACCCAGGTGTACTTAGTATCATTCCAAGAGCCAGTACCATAAGTACAGTACATTAGTTCTCACTTCTAAGTAAGATGAAGATTTAAACAATTTTAGAGGAATTAAAAAAGATGCTTCAGTGTTTTGGAGTTTGCAGGTTTTTTTCAGAATGGGAACATATAGATTCACTCATAGTGGACAAAGATTGTTAAGCTTCTGTTTATTTTTATATTTTTATATCTCATGAATTAACAGTTTAGCCAGCCAGAGTATATTTACAATGCAGCTACTTACATATATGAGTTTTTTCAAACGCATGAAAAAAACCCCTTTGGAGTGAAAGGAACTAAAAAATCCCACCAATCAGCATATCACAGAATCACAAAATAGGTAAGGTTGGAAGGGACCACATTGGGTCATCTGGTTCAATCTCCCTGCTCAAGTAAGGTCATCCTAGAGCACATTACACAGGATTGTGTCCAGACGGTTCTTGAACATCTCCAGTGAGGGAGACTGTGATGACTCACCCTTAAGGGGAAGGAAGCATTTAAGATTCATAAATGATCGTGGTCAAAAGGAATGACAAAAGTCAGAGGGTCTGCAAACAATCAGAAAGTTTTATTAGTAAATTACACACTTGTCATGGAAATTGGTATGTTAGTCCCTGACCTACTATATAAGCACATGGCAGTGGGTTTTGGTTAAAGGGGTAGGATGAAAGGGAAGAGAGAAAGGAAGAGATGAATTAAAGAGGGGGAGAGTGAAAGAGTGAGAGAAAGAAAGAAAGGAAGGAAGGAAGGAAAGAAAGAAAGGAAAGAAAGAAAGAAATCACTAGTTCTGGTTCCAGCATCGATCCAGCTGATGGGATGTCCAGGGTCCTGGGGGTGCCACCTGGGCTTGAGGGGGTACCGTTGTATGGATAGGTTTCTCCACCCTGAAGATAGGTTTCTAACTTTCTATGCAAATTAGTTATCATGCGCAGTCCATTCTTTCAGACCTTTCTGGAAATGAGTTAGAGGGTTTCAAGGGTCTTTGGTGGTCTTGATCCCCCCCCTACAGTCCATGCCCACTTCTTGGCCTCATTCCTGTGCTTTTGCTGTACTGTGTTGTGCTTATCTCCAGGAACTACAACAAGGATGTTTGTCCCAGAAAAGTGCTGCCCTACCTCCACATTGGCTCCTATCTCCTGTCACAACTTGTTCTTTCTCATGGCATGTTAATATCAACCACTCCTCACAGTTTTGTATCATCAGCAAACTTGCTGAGGAGGTACTCTACCCCCTCATCCAAGTCATTGATGAACAAGTTAAACAATACTGGGCCCAGTATTGACCCCTGGGAGACACCACTAGTGACAGGCCTCCAACTAGACCCTATGCCACTGATCACAACCCTCTGGTATCTGCCATTTGACCAGTACTCAAAAAATCTCACTGTCCACTCATCTAACCCACACTTCTTGAGTTTGCCTATGAGGATTTCATAAGAGACAGTGTCAAAAGCTTTGCTGAAATCAAGGTAGGCAATATCCACTGCTCTCCCTTCATCCATCCAGGTAGTTGTATCATTGTAGAAGGCAGTCAGGTTGGTCAAGGATGGTTTCCCTTTAGTGAATCCATGCTGACTACTCCTGATCACCTTCTTGTCATCCATGTGCTTAGAGATGGCCTCCAGAATGAGGCGCTCCATCAGCTTTCCAGGGATTGAGGTGAGGCTGACTGGCTGGTAGTTCCTCCTCCTTGCCCTTTTTGCTCAAGAGAGTGGATATAGAGGGTACATGCCACAGGGTACCCTGTAGTTTTACCTGTGGGATCATGGAGAGGACATGAGGAAGTGGTATGGAAAATATTCCTTGACCCTAGAGGCATGGATACGTGAATGTCGTGGTTTAACCCCAGTCAGCAGCCAAGCACCACACAGCCACTCACTCACTCCCCCACCAGCAAGATCAGGGAGAGAATTGGAAGTGTAAAAGCTAGAAAAATCATGGGTTGAGATAAAGACAGTTTAATAGGGAAAGCAAAGACCGCACACACAAGTAAAGTAAAACAAATAATTAATTCACTGCTTCCCATGGGCAGCCAGGTGTTCAGTCATCTCCAAGAGAGCAGGGTCCCATCATGTGTAACTGTTACTTGGGAAGACAAATGCCATCACTCCAGATCTCCCTTCCTCCTTCTTCCCCCCAGCTTTATATACTGAGCATGATGTCATATGGTCTGGAATATCCCTTTGGTCAGTTTGGGTCACCTGTCCTGTCTGTGCCTGTTCCCAGTTTCCCATGCACCCCCAGTCTCCTCATCAGCCTGACAGTATGAAAAGCAGAAAAGGCCTTGGCTCTGTGTAAGCCCTGCTGAGCAATAGCAAAAACATCTCTAGATTATCAAGCCTGTGTTCAGCACAAATCCAAACCATAGCCCCATACTAGCCACTCTGAAGAAAATTAACTCTACTTCAGCTGAAACCAGCAGGGGAAAGTTAAAGGAAAAACAATCATAAATGGGGGTTCTAGCAAAGTTGCTGCTTCAGTCTCCAGTGGGCAGTTCCCCAGACAAAGTTGAAGGGCTGATATTACCCCCTGTCCTATGGAAAGAAATTCTAATCCATTTTTACAAGAAGGAAGTGGAGAATACTATGATCAGTATTACAGGGACCCTGTCTCCAGCCAGGTAGAAGAGAGGGATAACCAGGTTTACCAGATTGTGTGGATCCTATGGCCTAGCACATCAACCCCACAGGAGTATAAGGCCCTAGTAGATACTGATGCACAGTGTACTCTAATGCCATCAAGTTATGCATGGGCAGAACCCATTTGTATTTTTGGAGTGACAGGAGATCCCAACAGCTGACTGTATTGGAGGGTGAAATCAGCCTGACTGGGAGTGAGTGGCAAAAGCACCTTATTGTGACTGGCCCAGAGGCTTTTGATATAGCTGCCTTGGAGATGGAGGAAATTAAGAAGCTGTCTACCTTTCCCTATCTCTTGGAGGACCCTTTTGTTGTGGGGTTACTGAAGGTTCAAGAACAACAGGTACTGATTGCTACAGCAACAGTTCACCAGCGGCAATATTGCACCAATCGAGACTTTCTGATTTGTCGACTGGATTCCCAAGGAATGATCAGCAGGACCTGTTCACCCTTCAATAGCCCCATATGGACAGTGCAAAAGTCTAATGGAGAATGGATACTAACAGTAGATTATTGTGGCCTGAACAAAGTCATGCCACCACTGAGTGCTGTCATACCAAACATGCTAGAACTTCAATCCCTTTGGCATCTGAGTGCAGGACACAGTTCGCTTTCAGTTGGAGAGGTGTCCAATACACCTGGAATTGACTGCCCCAGGGATGGAAACATAGCCCTACTATCTGCCATGGACTGGTCCAGACTGCACTGGAACAGGGTGAAGCTCTGGAACAACTGCAATACATTGATAATATCATCATGTGGGGCAACACAGCATAAGTTTTTGAAAAAGAGAAGAAAATAGTCCAAATCCTTGTGAAAGCTTGATACCGGAAAAGCCAGAAAAATAACTCTCTAAAACTCTTTTTGAGTATTAGAAAGCAAAAAGCACTCTTTATTACATATTACAGCAGTCGGATGCACAGGAAATATATTCCAAATTGTGCATGTCAAATCAAACAGGTTTTACAGCTTTTATTCTGCCATCTAATAACAATTACAATATAATTACCTCATCTGTTACCCCTACTTCCAAAACCGTTCCACCCACAGTTCCGTGCTCACCACACCTCTGACATGCCTCTCAAATTTAAATGGGAGGTCCCATAACGACCCCTGGCACGTGTCTTCTTCCTCATCTTGTCCTTTTCTTGACCCCTGGTTTTTGGCACAATGAATGAACTCCAAGATGATATTTGACCCCTGAATTATGACATAATTCGATGTTGGACTTGTGGGAAGGGGTTTTGATGAATACTGTATTTATATTCTGAAATTTGTGCTGATTCTTTGATTCATGTATGGCGAATTATCCCCATGAACCCCCATCTGGCATATTAAAGAGATGTCTGATCCAATGATTTCTGGTTGTTGGGTTTCATTCTTTTGTTTCAATGGACGGCATTGGATCCCGATGGATGTGGTTAACAAGATAACAGCAACTAACAAGAAACACAAGCTATCTTAGGCACTCTGAGTTTTTGGAGAATGCACATTCCAAATTACAGTCTGATTGTCAGCCCTCTCTATCAAGTGATCTGGAAGAAGAATGATTTCAAAGATGGCCCTGAGCAATGACAAGACTTTGAACAAATCAAGCAGGAGGTAGTTCATGCAGTAGCTCTCAGGGAGGTCCTGATAGTACAAGATGTAAAAATGTGCTCTACACCACTGCAGCAAGGGAGAATGGCCCTACCTGGAGCCTCTGGCAGAAAGAAGCAGGGGACGCTAGAGATTGACCCCTAGGGTTTTTGAATCGGGAATACAGAGGGTCTCCTCTACACATCATGGAACTGATGCTACATGGAGCAAGCTACAAGCTCCAATAAGGAACCTCAGTTGTCTAGGAATCTTGGAAGTGATCATGGATTGGCCAGAAGGCAAAAATTTTGGAATGTCACCAGAGGAGATGATATGTGCTGAAGAAGCCCCACTACAAAGAAAGTACCACTGAACAGAGAACAGCCACTTTATGAATAAACCTTCTGGTGTCCTATCATTCTGTTTACTCTATATTCAGTCCAATATTATAAATTATTTAATTTGGATGGAGTGAGACATTATTCTCTTTTAACAAATTACTTTCTCAATTGAAACATCTCTTGCAGTGTGAGCATTTTTGTTCAACAGACCTCTGTCAATTTACATCAGTGAAGAATGGTGGCCTATTTTTTTGGAACTGGGATTGTCTGTTTATACTGTATTTTTTTCCAGTACTTAAGTAGTCTTACAATTCTCAATGGAAAATCATTAAAGAATAAATTATGACTGAGAAATTAAGCAGCCTACTAAAAGATGGGGCACAGTTAAATGGGAATGATGCAGT